ATAGAGAATGAGAAAGAATATTAACCCTTACAGTAGTAAAGATGGTACCAAGTTAGAAACGATTTATATATATTATCATATTGAAAATTCTTAATAATTTAAGTCTCTCGGTCCTCAATATTTGGTTATTATCTATTTGGATATTATTGAATTTTTAAATTGAGGAAAGGTTAAAGATAATAAATTAAATAAATATTATTTGAAGGCATTTCTAGCGTAGAAATTAATTTAAAATAAATTTGAAAAACATCTAAATCAAGAATATACGTGCAATGGATGGTTTAATCAAACTTAAAGCACCTAAATCTAAAGTTAAAAAAGAATAAATGTTTTATCTAAAAATATTTAAAATGAGACATCTAATTCTAATATTCTCTTTTGCTTTCGCATTATTCAAAATTTTCAATTTCACATTAAATACAGAGAGGTTTTATAGACCTTTCCTTTGCTGCATGTGTTTGATATATTCCATGTGTTTGTGTGACACATTTACAAATCGCGCCTAACTCAAAATTAAAGTTGGGCTAACCTATTCCAACGAATTTTATTTATAGAATTATTATTAGCATTACAAATACAAACTAATCATTTCATATATTCCTTGTTTTTATAAAGGAAACACTCGATACCAAATAGAGAAAAATATTTTTTACTGAATAGTGTTTTTTGTTAGCTTGTCAATCATGATTATTACTTTTTCATATTTCTATATTAATTTCAAAGTAACAATTACAATTAGTCATTGTGTATAAGTTTGCACAGTAAAACTCAAATACATAAAATCACTTACAACATACAAGAAACTCGAGTTTACAACATGTCTGGCTACCTCTACCCACACTAAATTTTAGAAAACACATCGTCTCTCTCCCCATAATAGCCACCCCAGCCAGTGAGCCATATGTGGTGGTGAAGTAGAACAAGACTTTGATGAGGTAATAGATTCTGATAAAGGAAGATTGTAGGAAAGTCACTCAACATGTTTTTTAAATAGCAAGCATATATCCCTTATATTTAGGCCAACTTGCGCAACGTCCTTCACCCCCTCCCTTCTCCTCAAAACCCTACCACCCTAGCTAGCCTATCATCTTAAAATATACAATCATGCTAAACGGAAAGTCATGTCATGTGACTCAAAAGGCGAGGAATCTTAAGATTTTGCACCATCATGAATCTTCTAAATAATGTATTGTCATAACCAGGCAAATTATATTATATTAACTTGTTAAACTAAAATGGTTATTGAAATTATCTAAAATCTTTATTTTGGTTTCTGACAATAAAAATAGTTCATGAGTTCATTCACTACCAATCATTTTAACAAAGATATTTTACGGAATGACGAAAATAATTGATGGTGAATAAACTCAGAACCACTTCTATCGATTTTCAATCTCAAAAACCTAAATGAAGAGTTATTCTAATATCAAAGATTTTGGCTAAAAAAACGTATATTATATTCGTAGAGAACAAGGGAGAGTGATAAGCTTTTCTTATCATGCTCCATTAGATTAATGCAGTTGGCTTAGTCAATGATGGTGCTTTTGATAATCATATTATTATAAATAAATAAGCTCATTGTGGTGGGCTTGTTTTGAGCCAGATAATGCTTGCACGATCCTCCAAGACGCGGTAAGAATAACTTAACTTTAATCTTTGATGTTAAGGTTAATCTTGCACTAGTTTAATAATCATATATCTTCACATAACTTTTACGATCAAGTTGAAGCAAATATCATACATTACTGACAACAATCCGTTCCAATAATACATGGTGACTACTAATGATTGTTACTAAATACTTCGTTAATTATGACTATTGGTCGCGCTTGCTCTTGCTCTTATTCTCATTCTCATTCATCACTAAGTTTGAATTCGTTCTTAGGTAAAAACTATTATATATATATATATATATATCTATCTGTATGTTCCAAAAGATGGTACATGTAGCAAAAGATATAGCTTTCCAGACACAATATCCTACGTTTTTCTCCACTAAAACAAACAATTGAAAGTGTATATTTAGTGCGCATTCCATTCAGCATTAAGGTGATTTGCCAACTTTTTCTTGCATGTATTAGGATTGGCTCAGTTTCCATTAACAATCATCATGCTCTATGTGTCTCTTTCTCCAACTCCACCCCACGTTTCAAAAGGTTTTGGATTTGTCTCTATCACTTAGGTGTGATCGATTTGCTGGTACTGTGTCTTAAGTTTTTTAATTATGTTTTGAGAAAGGCTAAGAAAATTTTCTCAAAAGTGGAATTCTTGATCGACTTTCTGTTACCATATATTTTTGACATAATATTTTATAATATTTACACAAGAATTAAACTGTGAGATGATAAAGTTTATAAAAAATTTTACCTTTAGCATTTCTCATCGATTAAAAGTGGACACGGTAGCTCCTTACTTCTTATGTCCCACTTCCCATTCTTAAACTATTGAATTCTAGTGCAAATTTCAAAATAACTAAGTTGATTAGAGCTATGCACCTGTATTAAAGTTTGAATCAATTTTTTTTTTTAACTTAAATTAATTTAAAATAGACCTATATTAATAAAAAAAAGCAAAGTATTGAATTCTATTCATCCAAGAAGTACTGAAGTCCACATATTAGTATTAGGGTTACCAACTCTTTGCTAATAATAATATACTCACCCTTAGGAACAAAGAAGAGAGGGAAAATAATTAAAATATGTTTTGAAATAAGTAATAACTAATATATAACAACAGAGAAAGTTGACTTATTAAGAAAAGGCTAAATAGCCAAAATAGTCTCTGAGATTTGCATAATTCATCACTTAGGTCCCTGAGATTGAAAATCAATAGAAATGGTCCCTGAGATTGTCTACCATCCATCATTTTGGTCATTCGGTTAAAAACTCTTTGGACAATTTTCAAAACTTCGTAACTCAATCGTTTTTTAACCAAATTCGACCCATAATATATCAAAATGAAGATAGAAAAGTGTAGAACAAGATTATACCTATTTGTAAGCCCAATGATTGCTGGAAATGGCCAGAAAATAGCCTCAAAGGTGACTGGTCCGTGAGAAAATTGGAAAACTCGCCAGAAACTGGGTAAACTTTAAACGTTCATAACTTCTACAATACTTGACGAAATCGAGTGATTCAAAACAAAAATCATACTTCTTGACGGGATGAAGATAATGGTACCTTTCTTGAATGCTAATTCATCGTGGTTTGGTTGAAAAACTGCTCAAAAGCGGCAAACCATTTTCGAGTTAGACACTTTCGATCCGTTTTCCGGCCAAACCACGGTGAGTTAGCCATCGAGAAAGATACCATTCTCTTTGTCTTGTCGAGAAGTATAATTTTAGTTTTTGAATCACTCGAGTTCATTGAGTATTGAAGAAGTTATGAACGTTTAAAGTTTACTCAGTTTCTGGTGAGTTTTCCAGTTTTCTCGCGGACCAGTCACCTCTGAGGCTATTTTCCAGCCATTTCCGACAACCATTGGGCTTCTAAATATGTATAATCTTGTTCTACACTTTTCTATCTTCATTTTGATATATTATGGTTCGCATTTGGTTAAGAAACGATTGAGTTACGAAGCTTTGAAAACTGCCCAAGGAGTTTTTAACTGAATGACCAAAATGATGGATGATGGACAATCTCAGGGACCATTTCTATTGATTTTCAATCTCAAAGACCAAAGTGATGAGTTATGCAAATCTCATGGATCATTTTGGCTATTTAGCCTTAAGAAAATTACTCAATATTCAGTTTCGAACATTTGTAGGCGTTATGGTGACGTCACATAACTCTACTAAATTTACGACGCTATATTTTATGAACATGTTACAATAACTACACGTGTTATAAATATGAATGAATTAGTAATACTATGTGTTTAACAATATTCATAACCAAGCTAACGTTCTTGTATCATCCATTTTTGTTCTCCATTTATGCTAATATGAGACTATATAGAATTATTTGACAATAAGATGTTGCAACCAAATATAGAATGTTAACAGTTAACAGTATCATATGATCTATGTGCTAACAATGTGGTGGATAAAGATTAACTCGGGTTCGTAAATCCCCATCTCGACAAAAAAATGTCAAAATAATTTGTTTTTTCATCTTCATCTTTTTAAATAACCTCAACGGTGCAGAGAAAGTTTAATTTATGTATTGAAATATGATAAACACATAATGCACGGCTGATAGCTCCAATTTCAACCATGACTACTATGAATACTATCAAACGAATGCTCATACCACTCTAAACGCACATCAATAGTGAAGGTATACTTAGTCAAATGATGTGCGATGCCATGTTCAAATATCTCTTCATGTAAAATTTTTGACGAAATCTAATAAAACATGTATTAAAATGACCTAACTAGGAAATTTTGACAAAATAAAAGATCAAAAAGGAACAAATTTAAATAAGATTTTTATCAAGAATAAAATTTAAAAAAAGATTTTACCCAATGTGAAGCGATTAAATCATTTCAGAATCTGTAGTTAAATCTTTCAGTTGCAAATAAAAAGAATCAATTCTACTTGGTAAGATAAAATACCTTTTTCTTTTCTTATGTGTTTAAATGCGAATTCTTATGTTCCATTTTTGGAAATTTTCTAATTTGTTATTATTTTCTCGTAGACAAAAACTCTAATAACTTCTAAAAAAGTCAAAACACAATAATATCAAAAGAAGGGAAAAAAACTCAAATCAAAATTAAATTCTGATATCAAACACTGAGATTCTACTGAACCCAAAAACCAGGAAAAACAGGGTCCATTTCAGGAAAGCCAACAGAGGAAAGGACTCTGATTTCTCAGTTCACACATATAAAGATGTGATATCTACGTTTTTTTTTTTATTTCTTACATATTTTTTTAGTTTTAAACCGTCAAATTGAATAAACTGAATAAAACCAAAAGGCATAAATTAATAAAAGATACGTGAGAAGTAAAAAAAGTTGAGTAAATATCACACCCCTACATATAACTTCGATTCCGTTTCTCTCATTCTCCCTCTTCCCCTTTCTCTATCTCTCTCTCTCTCCAGAGTCTCTAGACTTACATAAACACCAAGAGAGAAAGAGAGACATTCATTATTAATATTCATTGTTTATCATTAATCACACTCCTTAATCCCTCTCTCTTCTCTCTCTCTCTCTCTCTCTCTCTCTCTCTCTCTAATCACTCATTTTCTCTGCTTCTTTGTGTTTTTTTAAGTTCTGGGTTTTGCTGGGTTTGTCAAAACCAGTAGTAAAAAGCTCCAAGATTCAAACTTTTCTCTCCTCCAAATTTTGTTGCTTGGGGTTTTTGTGAAGTTCTCTGCTTGAAAACATGATCGTTGAGCGGGTACTCGACGAACCCAGAGACCAGTTTCCCATTGGGATGCGTGTGCTTGCCGTGGACGATGATCCCATTTGCCTCAAGCTCTTAGAGGCTTTGCTCCGTCGATGCCAATATCATGGTTTGTCAATTGGGTTTTCTATCATGAATCTTCTGATTTATTTTTGCTTTGTTATCAAGCTATTTTCTTTATTGGGATAAACTGGTGTTTTGATTTAGATTTTGTGATTTTTGTTACTAAATTTCAATTGGGTTCTTGGATATATATATGCTGACTAGATTTTGTCAGTCAATTTTATATTTTTCTCTCTAATTCTGTGATTTCTTGTAATAATAATTTGCGTCTAAAATGTTGATTCTCTTTTCTAAAATTAGGAGGAAAAAAATCATGTATTGTTGCGTGAAGTTAGAAATGAGATTATCGCTTAGATATGGTAGAGCAAATGGATTCCCAATTCAATTAGGTTGAATTTGAATTCTCTGTTTCATTGTCTATAGATACAGTCATAGTTTTTGTTAGGTTTGGTTGGATTATGATAGATTGGTATATTTTGGTTGGTCTACTTTAGCATCTGAAGGTTTGACTTTCTTCCTGTAGAAAATTGGTGTGTTTATGGTATCATTTGATGGATTTTGCAGTTACGACGACGAGTCAGGCAATCACTGCATTGAAGTTGTTGAGAGAGAACAAGGATAAGTTTGATCTGGTTATCAGTGATGTGCATATGCCAGACATGGATGGATTCAAGCTGCTTGAGCTTGTCGGGCTTGAAATGGATCTCCCTGTTATAAGTAAAGCCAACTTGCACTGCGCAAATCTCTTATATTTGCTGTGTTTAGATTCTGAAATTTTGGAGTATCTTAGATCTGCAGCTTTTGTTTTTAAGTTAGGATTCATTACTAATTATGAATGTAAACATGTTCTTAGTGTTGTCTGTAAATGGGGATCACAAGCTTGTGATGAAGGGAATCACCCATGGAGCCTGCGATTACCTCCTAAAACCCGTTCGAATTGAGCAGCTGAAGAACATCTGGCAACACGTGATAAGGAGAAAGAAGGTTGATTCAAAGGACCAGAACTCTGGCAATCAAGACAAGTCTGCTGGATGTGGCGAAGGAGGAGTGGGGTCAGTAGGCACAGGGAATTCGGATCAGAATGCAAAGCTCAATAAGAAACGTAAGGATCAGAATGATGGCGAGGATGAGGATCACGATGAGGATGAATATGAAAATGACGATCCTTCAACCCAGAAAAAACCTCGTGTTGTTTGGTCTGTGGAGCTGCATCGCAAGTTTGTGGCCGCTGTTAATCAGTTGGGCATTGACAGTATGTTCTTCATCCTTGTTCAGAGCTATTTGAAAATATCCTCGTACTTTTGAAACCTTAATATGAATTCAGAACTTATACCCTAGCTTTGAGACTCCTAATAGTGAATACTTGATTCATGTATCCGGAATCTGTCATATTTTTTCATTTTCGTAACTTTTGTTTCTCACACGAAACCGTTAGATACTAATTGTTTCATTTAAATTTTTTTTTTGTATACAGAGGCTGTACCGAAAAAGATTCTAGATTTGATGAATGTTGAAAAGCTTACAAGAGAAAATGTTGCAAGCCATCTCCAGGTATAAATTCTGATATATCCTTAGTTCCCTACAATCTCTATCTTCTATTCTACGAAGCTTATTATTATTTTTCTTTGCAGAAATATAGGCTCTACCTGAAAAGAATCAGCTGTGTGGCAAACCAACAAGCTAATATGGTGGCAGCCTTAGGCACTTCGGATTCTTCATATTTGCGAACGGCATCTATGAATGGAGTTGGAAATTACCATACATTGACTGGACCTGCGCAGTTTCATAACAATGGATACAGATCCTTCCCGCCTGGTGGGATGATTGGTAGATTGAACACTCCTGCTGGAGTGGGTCTGCATTGCCTTCCTTCATCCGGAATGTTTCAATTGGGTCATGCACAGAATCCAAGCAACGCCATTAATGATCAGCCAGTCATGTTTCCTGGAAACCGTAATGGAAATATGCTTCCGCCACACTTGGAACTTGATCAACAACATAATAGGGGTTCTACCTATGGTGCACCAATTTATCCCGATTCCAGTGGTTTTACAGATGCAAAAGTGATGAATAGGTCAAATGATCCTTTCGGTCTTACAGACAACACAATGTTAAGACATACTCACGATTCTGAAGTTGGAAGAAATCATGTAATGCAGTCTTCCGTATCAATGCCCTCCTTAAAACCAGGACTGGGACCCCCATTTCTGGATCGCGGACGGTTGAATGACAACTGGTCAACCGCTGCTCAGCCATCTGCATTCCGGTCAAATTCTCTCTCAGCAAGTGACTCTTTTAAACAACCTACTCTCCTTGTAAGTAACCTGAAGGATGATATGCCTGTAATGTCCTCGCAAATTGGGAGCTCTCAGATTATTGTTTCTTCTATTAATTCAATCCCCTGTCAATTGCAGGATTCAAGAATAGGATCGCAGATCCCGGCATCTACAATGAACAATAATTCGGATCCAACAATCAACAATGACCTATTTCTGGGGTGGGATGAGCCAAAGCAGGATTCCCCGTTCCAGTCAGATGTCATGTGTAGCTCAATGAACAATTTGATGCCTGTCAATGATAATGTGGCTCCTTCCCACCAGAATTTGGACACCAGAAGCTCAGCCTTCCAACGAAACAGCGAGTTCAATTTGATCGGACAACCAAATTTTCTTGACCCCTTACTCATGAACTATGATGGTGTTGAAATATCAACTATGGATGCACCATTGAAGTTGAAGCAGCAGGGGTACCTTATGGACCAACGAAAGCCACAGGGAGGTTATGTCCCCCACAATGCTGGTTCGTTGGATGAGTTAGTGAGCTCAATGATCAAACAGGTAAGGAGCTTTTCTACCGGTCTCTTTTACTGTCAGATTCACTAACACCCCGTCTGCCCCCTGCCGGTCCGATCTGAAGAATTCATGGGCCGGCAGGTGGACGAGACAGAATGAAATTATATCTCACTGTTTACCTGCCGCACATACGTACAGGCTATTAGGAAGGCTTCTTGCTCGTCTACATGCGATTAACTTTCTATCGTATGGACAAATACTAGTTCATTGATTACCGAAAACTTAGAAATCATTGCTTATTCGCTACATTGAACTGAAGAATTTGTTGCATTACGATTGTCATATTTTCCTTTTACTTGTTTGAAAACTCAACATGAACTTGGTGATGCAGGAAAGGAGATAGGCGAAATCACCGGGAGGAAGGTTCAATCCCCGTGTAGAATACTCGTTGAGATAGCGGTTCTTCGTATTTGTGTTCGTATTTGTCTACATTGATCTCAAGTTTTGTATTTGAGTAGCAAGAATTAGTGTCCAATCTCTCTAGTTAGTTGCCGAGTAATAAGGGCTTTGTTTAATCTGTATGATGAAGAGGCATTGTCTTTCAGGCCCCGACAATGTATTATGGTGGACTAGTTTATCATGTCTCTTTGACTAAACATGCTTTGGCTTCCCATATAGTTTAATTAATTCTGCATAATTAGCACACTTCCTAATTATTTTATTTATTTTCTTTGAGATAAAAGAAAATAGAGGAATCACAAAGCATCATCAATCACATTAAAAATAATAAAGCGTCGTCTGCACGATCGATATACTAGTTCAAAATAAAAAGAAAGAATGATTTTGTGATTTTTTACCCCTTTTTTTTTTTTTTTTTTTTTTTGAGTTTTTAGCTAAAATAGTTTATGAGGTTGTCATAACTCTTCATTTTGGTCTTTGAAATTTAAAATCAATTGAAGTGGTCCCTAAGGTTTGTGAAAAATCTCTGTTAAATTGAAAAATTCACTAATTCAAGGGGATGAGTTGATTTGACCAAATAATAAATAAAAAACCTCAATTTGACTGAGAATTTTCATTGAAGGACCAAAATGATTGACGGTGGACAATTTCAGAGACCACTTCTATCAATTTTAAATATTAGATACTAAAGTGAGGAGTTATGTCAATCTCTAGACCACTTTGGTTAAAAAGCCTTTTATTTTTATATGAAGAAAGATTTGAGATAATGACACTTGTAATTTTATAGAAGCACATAGTTCGGAGAGCAAGTTATATGAAACGAGTTTACTGCTATCCTAATGTTTCGATTCCATAATACAATGTTATTTGTAAAATTTTTCTCGAGTGATGTTGCATTATTGGACTAGAATACCATAATTATAGTAAACTCGTTTAATGTAACCAAAGAAAAGTACATCTCACCATAATTTTATTTTCTTATTTTAATGAGTTAATTAGTGCTGTAATGTGCCTCACCAAACGACCATTTCAAAAATCGTGGAATAAATAACTATCTTGGAACAACTCATATGGCAAATCATAATCATATTATATAATATATAATCTCTCCACAGAACACCTTCGGACAAAAGCTCACACCCCACTACCAACAAAAAGAGAAAGTAAACTACAAACTTATACAATAATTTCAGCAAGTGTTAGGTACATTTGATTGGACAATCGAACTCGAACTCTTGACATAATCTAATCTCAACAGCATTTCTCTCGCTTCTTTCGCTATCCGAGCTTAGCCACTGAGGTTGCGGATTTGCCCGTATTCACTGCTCCTTAGCGATGAAACAAGCGAGAAAAAGTGCTGACGCTTTGCGGAAGCAATCCGACTCTCATGTCAATGCCCTTACAATCACTAGGGTTTTGCATGAAATACGCAACCTGCGGGATCAAAGAGGCCAACGGGGACGCATATGCTGCTGATTCATGCAAAAACCCTATTTTGTGGAAGGGCATTCTGGTCCAGTCAGACACCAAAGTGAGCTCGTCGAGAGGAGGCAGAGTAGTCTGTGGCCCACCAACTGCCTCCATGTATGCCTTCACGTAGGAGCTGGTGACAGACTTCTTGGCTTCTCTTATCTTCTCGATAATGGCTTTGTGCGTGGCTTCCTCCACCTGTGCCGCCGTTAGGGCAACGGAGGCCAGCACGAATGCATTGCCACTGAAACCTTGGGGAAGTGCGGGATCCACCTTGTTCCTTACGTCGACGGAAAATTGCAGGCACACCATTGCTTCCTTCCTCACTCCAAAAGCTTTGGTCTTTGTCTGCAATACTCATGACATCAATCAACCATAACACTAGTCATTCGAACTTGAATGTGGGAAGACAAGCACAATATATTACTGTCAACTGGTCTTACACACATCTATTTTACACTAGTTATTTAAACTTGAATGTGAGTAGACAAACACAATACATTACTACAACTGTGGTCCCACGAGTGATTTTTCAACGTATTATGAACACGACCAGTGCACCAAGTATAATAATATAATAAGTGGGAAACTTGAACAAAAAAAATTGTAACCAATTATATTATGACACTTGATGTACCGAGCCATGTTCTGGCGCAATAAAAAATTTCTCCTGGTCTCACCCACATTTTTTTCTTCTACAATTTTGAAAGGAAAAGGTTCCGCGTTGGTCTATACAAGTGGACCCTAGTCAATTCAATAGCTTCCAATCTTCATAAAAATTTGAACAATTTTGTTTCTGGGTTTGTTTTAAAGTAAGCTATACATGTGTCTAAATGTATGTTATATGCGTAGACATCCAAGTTCAAGATGTTTATCACAGTTTAATATTCTAAAAAAATGTTTTTATAGCCATTTTATCATTAAGAAAAATTTAACCAATACCAAAATTTTATGAAAATTCATCTCCGATTTGAGAATTGTGGATAAATCTAATTACTATTAGAATTAGAGTAATGTCAAATAGACCAACTTTTTAGACCGCATTTTTAAATCCTAAGATGTGCAACTAATAGGAATTCAGTACGTTAATCAGCACTTAAAGTAATAATAATGATCTAATTATCAACAACCACATCATATGATATACAAAATATGGTTTAAATAGATGTCCCCCTAATATTACCTTTAAACTTACTCAAAAAAATTATGAAAGTAAAAATTAGCCTAATTTATGAAAGTTTAAGGAAGCTAGTGTTTTTTTTTTTTGTTTGATTTTGCTATCTTTCACCAAGAGCGCCAATTAATTGAGAAATTTACCTTCCAGAGGTGAGCAGCCGCAACTTCAAAGGATGAACATGAAAAGCTACTCATTTCATCACCACAAACTTCTTTCTTCAAACTCTCAATCAGTGCACCACTCAGATGAAAGGTCTTATGAACATAATTACTATCAATAATTTGATTCAAAATATTGGACCCATTTTTGAGGAAATTGATCATGCGGTCATTGGATGCTGCTGCTTGCATGATCAATTGGTATAAATGATCCACGGCTGCAGCCCTTGTCACCACGGCAGAACCATCGTCGTTTCGGTTTGGCAGTAACTCTGTACTAATCCCTTTTGGAGCTTCATCAAACTTGTCCATCAATAGTGTTCCTCTGTCGTGCACTGGTAACTTAGGAATCTCCAAAACCTTGTGTTGTTTCATAGTTATGGTAGAATTAGAAGCCCATGCACTCATAAATTCATACGCCGCCGGTCCGTCGAACAACGAGTGGCTAATACCAATACCTATTGAGTAGCCTCCACAACCAAACTTGGTCACCTACAGTACCAAACCATTACAAAAATTTCAAGCCCACTTAGTTCAATTCGCAAAAGGAGGTCTTCAGTTCAAATTTTATGGACGAGAGTAGTTGACATTCTAAAAATGTCATCTCTTTGTTTTTACACATGAGGCGTGCAAGCTGATATTTTTGAAGGGCAAATAAAAACTCCCAACAAAACTATAGGTTCAGTTTTAAATCAAGCGCATACGAATTTCAGATACGGAAGTTAACTTACATATGGAAATTATATATATATGTAACTCCAACAAACCCTAATGAAGATTATATAAATTAATCCAAAAACAATCGAATATATAGAAGAATAATAGATAAAAAGGTAGATGGAGTTGGTGTTTTAATTTAAACATATTATATATATGTACATGATTTGTATCTTTTAATTAGGAAATATATCGAAATAATATAAATTCGTTGATCAGTATATAAATTACCTGAGCAACAACCAAAGGCATCTCTGAGAAGTCTTCATCAAACACAGGCTTGTGAACCAATTTCTCAAAAAATTCATTGCACTGTGATAGGTCTCCAAGCTCCGACATCTTAACCGGCGTCTCCGCCTCGACTAGAACAGCACCTTTGTTGTTGCACCATAAGTTGAGCTTGTTTTCGTGATCACAGCTCAACCTCCCCGCAGCTGGGTACCACACCGATAGCGTCTCTTCCAATCCACACTTCAAGCTTCCGAAAACCAAATCATCAGCACCATCAAGCGACAAGTTGTTGATTTTGTGATGAGCAACAGAGTTAGAATTGTAAAAGAAAACCAAGTACATATGGATTGGACTTTGCCTGTCCAAGTTTGAGAGGGTGAGAAGTTTTGGTGGGTGCAAAACTTTTGGGAGTACAGACACGGTTTTGGTGATTGAAACTAGGGTTAAGTAATCACCAATGTCATGTTCTGTGCCCATGGATATTGTACGAAAATTTGTTTCTAGCTAGCAAGGGTTTTCAAGCTTAGGTGGCCTTCACAAATGTGAGAGAGAGAAGAGGCGAGGAGATGGTAAATATATAGACATCAAAATGTAGAGGTTGCTTTGAACCAAAAAAAAATGTAGAGGTTGCACTCAGAATTTTTTTTATTATTTAAAAAAAAAGATATTCTACACTAAATTCATCTAACGATGAAAGAATAACCTTAAACTTAAACTTAAATGCAGACGAACAAAGACACTAGCTACTCTAACTAATTTGTCAAACGCTAGAAGTGGAGAAGCTCTAAAATTAGAATGAGGATACTCTCCATATCCTCTTTGTGAGGATCCCCGGATCCTCCAATCACATTCGTTCATCATACATTGTGCGGCTAGTTTTTGTCAGGTACTGTTTATATTCAATTTTAAATAATAAAAAAATTTACAATGATTTCTGATCACACGATGTACGATGAACGAATTTGATTGGAGAATCCTTGGGATCCTAACAAACAGGATCCGAAGAGAATCCTCATTCCTCAAATTAAGTTTGGACTGGAAGCACATGGTCGCGTCATTTTAATAGTAAAGTTTTTGCATGGTACTGTGTACTTTATCATCTATGAAAGTAAGGACTGAATTAATAGGTGAAAATTAAGGAAACAAGCTAAAAAGATAGTAGTAGCTGTTGTTGATGGCATATCACACGCGGATACGTGTTTAAGTTTTGATTAAAAAAAAAAAAATTTAGACACGTGTCCGCACGTGATTGATTATCAGTAGCAGCGAAGTCTTGTTCAAAGTAATTGATCATGTATGATCGATCTGTCTCGCACCTTGGAGGGAGAGAGACAGACAATAACCCCGGGGGACTACCTGTCTATATACTTGGTCCATCATCTTCCATAGGTTGGACCTCATACGTCTAATAGGTAGGACCATTTCGATCATTTTCTAATTAATGAGGTGAAAATGGAAAAAGTGAGAATAATTGAAGAAATAGGTGTATGTTG